TTTTTGGCCCATCTCTCCAGTCGGCGTTTTTGCACGACATATTAAGGTGTCCTGGACCGGAAAAGCAAGGCCGCAAAAATCCGCATTCACCTTGAAGACATTCCTTATAAAGCAATCTTTACTGAGTTTTAGTCATCCACACTAACCAACAGTCAATAAACTCAGTCTGACACAATCCAGCACTGTTCAATTTGACCAATCCTAAGAAAACTCACCGATTAGTTCTCTGACTGCCTTAAAACTCGACCAGTCTGGTCACTTATTCACTCGCCCCGGTGGAGCTTCTATATCAAAAGCGAAAGGTTGCCTAGCACTAAGTCCATCGATTATTTAGCAAACCTCTCTGAAAAGATGACCACTCAATTGATCTCAAACGCGATCCATATGCCGGTGGTGGATTGTTGTGTTCTGTCTAAGACGAGGGGCTCGGGAAGGATAGACCGTAGCATAGCAAGGTAAACGGGAAGCGGTCATTATCAAACTGAGCGCTGTGCGATCTTGCTTAGAATCCATGCGATTCTTTTTGTTTGTGGTTGGAAACCGGTGATGAGCTTACCTTTACATCCTAGCCGCACGGCCAACGCCTGTTTGTCGTTATGTACTGTAAGGTTTGCGGATGCTGCCCGATCAGTTCCACACACAGCGTATCTCTGCAACCTGTTATTCACATGTGTTAATTTCAATTTCTGAAATGCCTAGACGTCTCGCGTGTGCATGTCAGCCGCCCCCCCTATTTCCGTTTTTCCCTATCCCTCCATCTGCTTTTCACTTTTCGCTGATACCCTATTCCACTATGACCGTACGGGAGGTAGGCATCGGTTTCCAACCTTGTTGTACTACTGTCTGTGATGAAACAATGGCACAGAATTTGAGCCTTTTTGTGTCTATGGACGTGACCCATTCACCGGAGGCTTATCGCAGCTTTGTCACAGTGGAAACATATCTTCTGAGAAGGTGGACCTTGGTGCACAAGAGTGTGCTCCAATCGGTCTTTCGAATTCAAGTCACTATGCTATCTCCCACTTCGCTGCCTAACTGCGCTATTCATCGTAGACACAAGAAATCAAGCCGATACGAACAAAATGAAGCCACTGACGATCGTGTCAGACAAGCTTACTGCCTTCCATACTCATCGAAGCCTGCACCGAAGTGTAGTAACCCAGACTAGCTCCTCTGTAGAATAGACTTCCTAATGGATCTTGCCCGGTTCAGCTAAATAAGCGTCATTTGGTACTTCGTTTCAACTCCAAGGTAGCTATCCGTGATCATCTAACTGTAGCCATGTGACTGTAACCGTTTGATTGTTTTTGTATGTACTGGAATCCAAACCTCTTTGACTCTCAGTTCCCGATAGTCTGATTTTGTCGTTCGTACCAGGCCAGTATGCTCACATTAGTCTGTTGAACCGAACAGGCCAATTGCGTGTAATTTCATGTAGCCACTAACTTGCAAGCCCACCGGCTTGTTTTAGCAGTACAGATAGCCTTAGTTTTTCACGTATACGGATTCAACCATTGCGCACAATACAGCTGCTTTGCACTGTCTTGGTTTGATGTTGTCGGTGGTTTGACCTTGCGGAGAAAAGTGCGGTTGGGTAGAAACATCTCCGTAACTGTTCTTTTGGCGGTCAGTTGAAGTGTACGTCGGTTCTGCCGCAAATGGCGTCACGGACTAGAGGAGCCGGTCGATCAACACCTCACCATGTGATACGGATTCTGATTAACTTGCAACTAGACAGGATGTCTCCCCCCACCTACCCTTAAATAACAAAAAACACATCACGTGTCTACTTCTCAGATGGAAGTTTCACAAATCCAGTAAACTAACCTTCCTCTAAATTTCCAGGCTGTCTTCCCCCATCTACCCTTAAATAACAAAAAACACATCACGTGGCTACTTCTCAGATGGAAGTTTCACAAATCCAGTAAAACTATCCTTCCTCTAAACTTTTTATGGATCCATGTTTGTGTTGTCACAGCAACCCATTGGGTTTTTCAGTTTGTTTTATGTACTTTCATGTATTGAGACCCGAAGGCAATATCAGCTGCTGGCTATCTGATGAGAATTCGTTCCTCAGAACAACCCTTGTTATCTTTGTAATGTACTACTCATAAGGTTGCTGAAAATCCGTCGACAGCCCACGACCGGTTTCGCTCTTCTTGGGGCTCATCAGGTAGGCACAGTCCCCGGGTTTCCGTCAGCCCCATGTTCTACTTGAAACCAAATCGCACGAAATTAGCGAATATACACTCATTTGCAAACTAATTTGGTTTTTCGAGAGACTCACCTGGAACCCAGCTGAATCTATCGTTTATGATGTTCTTATTTCTAAATACGAACAATCTACCTGATCCCTTCAATTCTGATCACACAGAAGCCACCTCGTTCAGGGCATCATCCCGCTCATTTGCTTTTTTTGTCTTTTTCATTGTTCCGTTGCCTCTAATTTAGACAATAAACAGTAAACTCATCAACTTCCCTATGGAGTTGATGAATAATTATTACTCGTTTAGTCACCTGGTTGTAATGTTGGTGACTTGAAGACTGATTAGCTGGTTCAAGTTTCTCATCTAAATTATTTAACTTTCACGTCAATCCCGACGTAACTCTTGACTGTTTAAATTCTGTTGGAAAAATTTGTGAGCACAGTCAACTACCACCGTGACATACTGATCTGTTCAAGGACCCAACCAATACCGACTGTTCTAACCTATTGACCCACAACAGGACACCGTGCTGTTCAACGATACCATACGCTACAACATTCGCTATGGACGTCAGACAGCCACCGACGAAGAAGTGCTGGAAGCCGCCTGTGCTGCGGACATTCACGAACGCATACTGGAATTCCCCGACCAATATGAAACTATTGTTGGCGAACGGGGGTTGAAACTTAGCGGTGGCGAGAAACAACGCGTTGCCATTGCACGTAACGTGCTGAAGAATCCGTACATCATGCTGCTGGATGAGGTTAGTTCGTCTGGTCGACAATTATATATTGCTTTCTTATCCTCGTCCCATTTAAATTCACTGTGGACGCCGAAGAGGGGTAAGCATACTATGTGAGAGCACCTGAGTCACTTCTAGCCTGAAACCTGGCAGTAATTTAGTTTCCTACCCTCTGAGACGTTCGCTGCATTTGTCTTTATACCTTATACTTCATACTGGATACTTATCAGTTATCTTCATTGTCTGCAATACATTAGTAGTACGTACTGGTTTCTAACTGCCATGCAACTATGAGGAAAGAAAGGATGTGGTTGGGAGAGAAGCCCTTTGTTCCTAAGAAAAACAGTCAAGATTAAGTTGCATGATCTTGTGGGCACCATCAGTTGCCTCAACCCACGGTCCTTTCAGAACCTCATCCAACATCTGATTAGCTCACAAAAAGAAGGGAATTTAAGCCGGACAGTCTGGCTAAGAAGTGACAGGAAGTACTCCACTAGGGCCCTGTACCATTTCCTGCAAGATTTCAGACCACTTGCAGGTGGGATCACTTGGGTCCCTGCCGAGAAGGTGCGAAGACCCAATTACATTCAGTTTGACAGTATCTGCTATCTCAAGATAAGTCCCCCGCGAACCATCCCCCATCAATCGTTCAGGTCACCATTTTCCACACAGTAAGACCAAGCTTGTGTGTTGTTGTTTGGCTCCATAAATCCACGTGAAACTCACGAAAAGGTATTACTATAACTCCTTCAGAAACTTGGCGAAAACGGCTAAAGCC